AAAGCCTTTTATAGAGATCCCTTGTCTGTTTTTAGGAACCACGTAAATTTTTTGTTTCTGAGTATATGTATTTCCACATGAAATTTTTTTTAAATGAAGTCTAGTCTGGTACTTCATACTTCCAAGCTTAGTTGAGTTCAGGAGGGTTATGGGCAACCTGGGCAAAAAGTTAATGACCCCATCTCAACCAGTAAAAAGCTGGGTCTGGTGGTGTACATTGTCATCTCAGCAATGCAGAAAGCATAAATAGGAAGGTCTTAGTCTTGGTCATCCCAGACATAAGGCAAGAGCCTGCCTCAAAGATAACAGCAAAAAAGCTGGAGATGGCTCAGATGGTAAAGTTGTCTGCATAGCAAGCACAAGACTTGAGTTCAAACCCACACTAAGTGCCAAAAAAGATTTTTGGTGTTTATGATTTGTTACATTTTGTGGGGGAGGGGGGTACATTTTGTGTTTCTATGTGCCACTGTAGGGACTAGAACTTGGCCTGGAATTCTCCCTTGGCTATTCCCCCTAAGGCTGGCACTATCCATGAACCACAATTTCATTTCAAGCTTTTTGCTTATTAATTTAAGATAAAGAGTCTCATGGACTTTTTGTGTTTGATCTGGCTTCAGATCTGGATCCTCAGATTTCGGCTTCCTAAGTCCTGCAGGTGTGAGCAGCCACTGCCCCCTGGCTAGATTTTGTTTGTAATGAAGGAATGGAATTGTTTTGTGTTGACAGGCTGAAGTTCCTGCTGTAAAAGACATGTTGGAAGCTGGGATCTTAGATACTTACCTGGGCAAATACTGGGCTATTAAATTGGCCACTAATGCTGCAGTCACTGTACTTAGAGTGGATCAGGTGAGTGAAAAGTTAAATTCTGCACATTAAAAATAATAATTGATTTATGGTTTAATAGTGTACTCAGAAGTAGAATGTAATAATGCTGATTATAATGAAAGGAGTATTACATCTAGAGATGTTAAAGTGGCCCTCCAATTATAAGTTGTATTGCATGTGTTAACACACACGGTTTAAAATGAAAGTCCAGTAAAAGAAACATTTGCTAATTTTCATTTGGCAAAGTGTAAGAAGAAATTTCATTGATTGAGTTCTCTAGCTTTGGAATACCTATATACAAATTCTCTATAGATAGTAAGCTCTAATATGTGATATTGATATGGGAAAATAAGGAAACATCTACTAAGTAGATATTGTAGGTACAAACCTTAAGGAAAATGAAATCTCTTGCTCACGGAAGTGAGGAGGACCTAAGCATTTAATTTTTCTGTTATGATGTATTGTTTCAGTACTGACAAATCTTTAGTTTTATGATCATATGATGCCTACCTTTTTGCATTATTTATAGTGAAGGCTATTCTTGGTACTTAGAACTCACTATTTTTAGTAAAGTTAAATGCATTTGTTCACAAAACTAGATGAAATTATTAGACAATGAACTGTTTATACCTAATTGCTTGAGGTATAATATATATCGACAAAGTGAAAATTTGGCCAAATTAAACTGAAGAAGTTCTCCATGAAAATCAGAAGACTTATTTCTAAGCACTTAAGTGTCAGTTTTAGAGTAAAACAAACTTTGTGGGTAAGGGAGAACTTTACTGACCAGAAATGGAATTATTGTTCAGTATTAACTTACTAGAAAGAAGTAGAGGGATAGGCTGACAACTTGCCTAGCACATGTAAGCTTAGTTTGGATCCCAAGTACCACCAGTAATGTAAAAAGAAAAAGTACTGGAGGTGTGTGTACCAGATGTGTTAGAAGAGATTGCTGTGATTGCTTAAAAATAAATTTCAGTCATGAGCCGGTGGCTCACATCTATCATACTAAATACATAGGAAGCTGAGGTCTGAGGATCATGATTCAAAGCCAGCCTGGGCAGAAAAGTCCCTATGAGAGCTTAACCTCCAATTAACCACCAAAAAGCTAGAAGTGGAGCTATGCCTTGAAGTGAAAGAGCATTAGTCTTGAGCAGAAAAGCTCAGGGACAGTGCCAAGGCCTCAAGTTTCAAGCCCCATGCTTGAGGGAGGAGGGGGAGTGCTATACTGTGTCAAGTTAGCACCTGTGAGATACCCTAAAGAGAGACTGAAGTTACTAAGGGAACTGAGTACTTGGTTTCATAAATAAGCCCTTCCTGCTGTTTGACTAGTTTACCAAAGGAACTAGAAACCATAGCAGTAAGCTTTGTATTTATCAACTACTTTAGATAATAATGGCAAAACTGGCAGGTGGACCTAAACCTCCTAAGCCACAAGGAAACTGGGATAAAGATGGTTGGCAAGATGAACTTCATGTTTAAATAGCAAATCAGGTGCCACACTGACTTAACCAGAAATGCATGCAAATATTTTGACATTGAACTTACTGAGTTACCAACATGCATGTCTTGAAATGTTTCTCATTAATCTGTGTGGATTTTGTTGCTGGTTTTCACAAAAAGTAGGAAACCTCATACTTGGAAGTGGTGTTTAGTTTCTAATAAGGAGTCTAGCAAACCTTGTGCTGTAGTGTTTTGAATGCATTACATAATAAATTGCTCATGTTGAGGTGATCCTTCGTCTTAAATCAGGCTAGTAAAAAAATGTTCATTCTAGAGATTGAGCTTCTAAGCCTACTTCTGTGGTTTTCTATTGTTACGCAGATTATCATGGCAAAACCAGCTGGTGGGCCCAAGCCTCCAAGTGGGAAGAAAGATTGGGATGATGACCAAAATGATTGAATGGCTTCATTTTTACTGTAGGTGAAGGTTATAATCGTAGTGTAGGAATTGCCTGTTTTCTTACCTTAAATTAAGAAATGTTGTGTTTATATCCTCAGCTGAATAAACGTTACAATTAAAGCCTTACTGAGTGACCTGCTTCAAGCTTATTACTCACATTAGCTATGGGACTTAAGGCAGGTTATTTTGTTAATTAGAGGTCTGTTTCCCATGTGTCAGTCCTGTCTGTATTTGTAAATAATGTTGCTGGAACACTTAGCCATATATAGTGACATTGTCAGTGGCTGCTTTCTGCAAGGGAATGCCAGGCTTAAGTATCTGTGTGAGCAAGCAAATGCACCCAAAATGTTTCCTGTCTTGGCCATTAGTGGGAAAAGTGCCAGAACCTAGACTAGATTTCCAGTGTTTTTTCACAGTTCTGGAAATCTTGAGACTTGGGGATGACCAGATCCAGTGGGAGAAATTGTAGTGGCAAAGTAGAAGAGATAAAAATATACCTCTCAAATGTACATATCTTAAGATCAGAGAGAACTGAAAAAAGTAAATGAAAATGTAAAAAGTAAAATTTTTGATACTCATACAGCCATGTAAAATAGTGTTTGAAACCTTTGATCTTCAAAGAATTTTAGAAATAATTAGCTTGGATTTTTTTTTTTCTACTATAAAGCTGGTACACAATCAAGGTACCTGTGGCTCATGCCTGTAATCTTAGCTGCTTAGGAGGTTGAGATCTGAGGATCATGGTTTGAAGCCCATGAGACTCTTTGCTCTAACCACTCAAAATCCGGAAGTGGTGCTGTAGCTTAAAGTGGTAGAACATTAATCTTGAGCTCAGGGACAGCACCTAGGCCCCAAGTTTTAAGACCCACAACAGACAAAAAAAATAATACAGAGGAGTTCCTTTTTTTTTTTGTCAGTCCTGGGGCTTGAACTCAGCCTGGGCGCTGTCCCTCAACTCTTCAGCTTCCCTGGGCTGGCTTTAAACCATAATCCTCAGATCTCAGCCTCCTGAGTAGCAAGGATTACAGGCGTGTGCCATGGGTGCCCAGTGGGGTTACTTTTTTTTCCAAGTCAGGTAATGAGTTCATTTGTTCTTGGACAGTTAATTTTTAGGATTTTTTGTTTTTGGTTGGCAATAAAGGTTTAAATTTAAATCCTCTGCTCGCTAGGCCCATCCTCTACTGCTGAGATGTGCATATTTTTGAGATAGGATCTTGCTTTTTGCCTGGGCACATGCCTCAGTTGAAACCAATCTGCTTTTCTGGTGCTAGAACAACACACACTACAATGTCCAGCATCTACTAAGACTGGTGAGTTCTGCTGCCCTGGCTGACCATTCCAATCTCAGCTTCCCACAAAGCTAGGATGGTAGTTGTATATCACTGTTCCCAGCTAGGGATTGAGTAAGGGTTTCTAGAATTCTACTCAGGTTAGCCTTGTAACATAATACTCTGAATTTATTAAGTAGATTTTTTTTTTGGGTGGGGGGGGGGTCCGGTCGTGGGGCCTGAACTCTGGGCCTGGGCGCTGTCCCTCAGCTCTTCAGCTCAAGGCTAGTGCACTACCACTTGACACAGTGCCACTCCCAGCTTTTTTTCTTTTTGCTTATGTGGTGCTGGGGAATGGAACCTAAGGCCTCATGCATGCAAGGCAAGCACTCTACCACTGAGCCACCTTCCCAGCCCTATTAAATAGAATTGTTAGCTAGTTAGTGGCTCAAGATTGTAATCCTAGTGACATAGTAGGCAGAAGGGATCATAGTCAAGGTCCTTTGAGGAATGAAACCAGACCCTTGTGAAATACCGAAAAGTCTGGAGTGGCTGGCTCAAGGGATAGTGCCTGCCTAGCAAGCAAGAAGCCTGAGTTCAGATCCTACTGTTACAAACATCTAAGACCCATTCAATGGTTGGAATGCTTATCAGTACAGCAAAGGAAATACCAACCATTGGCTTGTCAGATACTAGCAGAGAACTTTTGAAGAAGTTACCATCATTGTCCTCTGTGCCATGTAACTCCACACTGGCTGACCTGAATGAGAAAGGATTTAGGACTAAAGACATCCAGAGGCCTTACCTGGCATGCTGGCATAAAGGGGGACTTAGTATCAGGTGCATGGCAGAGTGTTTCAGGCACATTTTACCCCGTTAACACTGCTGACATTAAGTGCCAAATATCTATGGCTCATGAAAAACACTTGATATAATCAGTTTCACGTTTTCATGTGTTACCAATAGGGTAAACTAGTACAACTTAGTAATAAAACACATTTGGGAGTAAATTTGTGGGTTTATTCATGTGTCAAGATGCACCACCCTGACACATTAAACAGAGGACTTAAATTCCCAGAAATAAAGCAAGAATAAAAACCATTATGACAGTACAAAACCACTTAATTTTTAAGTATTTTCCCCTTCAGTATGTAAATACATGACTTCTTTCATTTACATAAGTGAACATGATTTATAGATTTTTTATTGTTATTATTACAGCCAGTATAAAAGCCATAAATTTATTCCAGAGAAAGCACTTACTGCTTACAGTATTCTCTCATAAAATAGGAGGTATGCTTGTGAATTTAGTACTTTAGTTGTAGGCACAGCTTGCACGTGTGTATCGCTGATGTGAAACCACTGCCCTTTGGTTGATTCCATTTCAAAATCTATTAAGAAGAAATGTGAAAAATAAGTACAAATGAAAAGATTCAAATCACTATTTTTCAGTTTTGCTGTAATTTGCTAAAATGCTTGACATTCCAGGATAGCTTACCTTGTGGAATATCACCATGAAGAACAAGATTAGACAGCTGACTATTTGCAGTTCTTGCCTTGGCGTAGGCGGTGTAGTGCCCCGACCTCATAGTACCACTGTGTTCAACAACGCCATATAAGGAATATAATACTCTCGTGTTTTCTTCAGCAACATTCTTTAAAAATGAACAAAGTCCAAAGTAAGGTCTTAATCTCACACAACTGTTATTGGCGAGACAAATTACACAAGGGGGGGGGGCTTTAAGTCCAGGCTTGTACAACTCTTTAAAAGATTTTTAAAATTGTTATTATAAAGGTGAAGTACGAAGGGTATTAACAGTTACATGGATTAGGTCATGAGTACATTTCCTTTTGGACAACGTTACCTCTTGCCTTGCTCTCTCCTAGTTTTTTCCACTAGTCCCCACCCACAAGTTGTAGAGTCATGTCTAGTGAATACCACTGCTGCATTTGTTCACTTTTGTCCCTCCATTTCTGTGCCCCCACTTAACCCTCCCAAAGACAGATAAGACAAAAAACAAAAACCACCACAAAGCAAAAACTTGTTCCAAGCTTGTATTCTTGGAAATGTTTTTATTCATAGCTTAGTGCTGTACCACCTGAGCATGCTCCCCCTTTTGCTGGTTAATTGAGAGTAGAGTCTCATGGATTTATTTGCTCAGAAAGGCCTAAAACAGTAATTCTCAGATATTAGCCCAAGTAGAATAGTTAAGAAACTTGTAGCTCCAATTAACTAACAAGCCAGAAGTGGGATGTGGCTAAACTACCAATCTTTCACAAAACTAAGCAAGAGCACAACCCCCTGTGTTCAACCTTCAGTTGTAGCACCATTAAATAATAGACAAACTGAGGTCACCTATCAATACATTTGCCTACCTTCAATTTTGTGCCTTGAGATACCAAGACAATGCCATAATAATAAGAAATCAAAACACTGTTATTGGAAACTATAAATAGGTTCATTTGAATTCATCTGATCCAATATAGATCTTGAAAATTATGAAGCTATAGTGATCAAATATCCATTCGACGTAATAATTATCAACTCCAAAGTATGAGATGCTGTAGAGTATTTGTTAAAAACTGATTTCTCTATAGTGTTTTTCTGTTAAGAGACTACTTTTACCTACCTTACATTTAACAGTACAAAAAGGAGCCATATCTAAGACTTCTGGAAACTTTATATGTCGGTTAACTTTGCGTAGGTTAAAACCAGCCTGGAAGAGGGGGATAGCAGGTGAATTCTCGCAAAGCTGTACATATTATATAAATTGTATCCCCTCCAATGCCCAAACGGTACCAATAGTCTAATCAACAGATTGTTCTACATGCACACACATACACCCCAAAGACACTAACTGCTCTCCCTTGAGAGCACTGTCTACCTTGGTCACACAAAAAAGCCAAAGTAGACCAGATGTTTTGAGTGCCTAAGACTCAGCAACAGAATTCTTTTGTATGGAATGTATCCTTGGCCTCTAGCTTAGTGAAGTTAGAGAAAATTCAGTTTGTCAAGCACGTACCAAACATAAGAATTTGAAAATTGTAACTGCTACCAACAATTCCACAAAAATAAGGTCACCAAAATGATTAAATTCCAAGTTATTTTTTTCAATGAAGTGTTAGTAAAAATAAGATACCATAGTCAAAACAAATTCATATATTTCTAAGTGTAAAACATTGGTAGTAAACTTTTCTTTTCTTTGCCTGAAATAAAAGGCCTGCATGTAGGGCTGGGAATGTGACTTAGTGGTAGAGTGCTTGCCTAGCATGCAAGAAGCCCTTGTTGGATTCCTCAGTACCACATAGGCAGAAAAGCCAAGTGGTAGCTCAAGTGGTAGGGTGCTAGCCTTGAGCAAAAGAAGCTCAGGGACAGTGCCCAGGCCTTGATTGAGTTCAAGCCCCAGGACTGACAAAAAAAAAAAAAAAACCCTCCATGTATTTATACTCTACTTGAACATACACATAATTATTCAATTTTTTTCTTTTACCTTCCTATTTGCTTAAAATTAGAATTAAAAATCAAAGAAGCATAATAATGTGTTTAGACAACAACCAAGAAGGTATTCAATATTTAAAACAAGTTTTAGGGAACACACTAGGGTACCTGCTGAAATCTCTTTAAATGAAGGGTAAGAACAGGAGGAGCAAGAGATATTAGCATCTGCTTTTTGGCATTGGTGTAAACATGCTTCTTCTCACCTATAGAAAGGAAGACAGTTTAGTACTTCACAATCAGTTTTAATGCTAATATTCTAATATATGCTATAAAAATCATTTCAAACACCTACAGGATCAACAAACTTCTCTAAAGAACAAGATAATAAATGTTGGGTTTTGTGGGTCAGGAGACTAAGACCATATAAAATTTGTGGATGAAATTATCATTCGACTGTACTCTTTGAAGAATGGAATTACATTTGGAGACAGTGGCATTTAGATTAAGATTCAATGCAACCAGGTGCTGGACTCACACCTGTAATCCTAGCTACTCAGGAGGCTGAGATCTGAGGATTGCAGCTCAGAGAGCCCAGGCAAAAGACTTATCTCCAATTAATCATCAGAAAACTGGAAGTGGCACTGGGCTCAAAGTCATAGAGTCCTAGCCTTGAGCAAAAAGAGCTCAGGGATAGAGCCCAGGCTGAGTTCAAGATCCACGACAAAAAAAATTGTGTGTGTGTGTGTGTGTGTGTGTGTGTGTGTGTGTGTGTGTGTGTGTATGTGTGTGTGTGTGTGTGTGTGTGTGTCCTGAGTCCAAGCCCTAGGACCACCAAAAAAAAAAAAAAGCGACAGGGAATTGAGGGTGAGGAAATAGCCCCTATGTACCAGAATGCTGTTATGATGCTGCTCCAGTGGGAGGTTTACCTACAGGAAAAGGAAGAGTTGTTAGAGAACAACACTTCAACTGCTGCTAGGATGTCTGTCAAGTTCTAGGTACCTCCAAAGGTTCATCTTTTATCCTTCTATATTAAAAGATTACATTAAGAGGACACTTAATCATGCCATCCAAAGTCTGAAAATTACTAGAGGAGTATTCTACCTGTTCAGGGAAAAATGTTCCTAATGTACTTAACACTAATCTTACTTTCAGGGAGAAGAATCTAAATACCTTTTATATTTCCCTTCGGTCCATTACTATACTGTCTTCGTGTGCATACTTCACAAAGCAGTTTATTTGCATCTCGAAGTTTTTCATTACGGGTGAACTGGTATAAACAGTGTTGTATTGAACACTCATCGGTACTGAAAGCTTCCCTGTTTGCAAGAGTACAGAAAGCAGTTTCTGGATCTTCATTTACAACCTCGTATACTTTTGTCCCAGGAGTAGGACTGTCATCCAGAATCTCTACATTTATTTCATCAGGTTGAAGCCCAGCATTCAAATTAAGGTTTTTTAAACCATTGGCAATGTCTGCTTCTCCATCACTCCTTTCTTCCAGGCAGGCACCACTGGCGCTCCTACTACACTCAATGGGAAAAGATGCCCACTCTAAGTCATTGTCCAGGTTGACATTTCTCGTATCAGTTTCCTCTATGGATGTGTGATTGTCATTCATACTGTCTATTGTTTTTTCTTGACCACTCTCATCTTTCTGATTCACACAAAATTCTTTATCTGTAACTTCCTCTTGTGAAATATGATTAGACTCAACATCCACTTCTTCCTGAAGTGACATTTCAGCCTCACATTCATTGTCTTCAGCATGATCCTGGACACAAATATCATTTAAATGAAGAACTTTGCCTTGAAATTTTTGTTGCCTTCGTTGGTTCTGTGTAAAAAGTACAAAATGTTAAAAAGAGGAGAGAGACAGAGATAGACAAAGAGGAAGAGAGATAAAGAGCACACACATATTGCTTAACTTTTTCTCCTTAATGATCAATTAAACATAATTTTATAAGAAGGAATTAACTGTCAAAAAGTTCTTTTATGAGCTGGGAATGTGGCTTAGTGTTAAGAGTTTTTGCCTTGCATGCAATAGGCCCTGGGTTCAGTTCCTCAGTACCACATAAACAGAAAAGGCCAGAAGTGGCACTGTGGCTGAAGTGGTAGAGTACTAGTCTTAAGCAAAAAAGAAACTCAAGGAAAGTGCCCAGGTTTTGAGTTCAGGCCCCAGGATGGGGGAAAAAAGAAAAAAAAAAAATCAACTGTTTGCCAGGTGCTGGTGGCTAACGCCTATAATCCTAGATACACAGGAGGCTGAGATCTGAGGATCATGGTTCAAAGCCAGCCTGGGCAGGAAAGTCTGTGAGACTCCTCTATCTCCAATAAAACATCAGAAAACTGGAAGTGGCACTGTGGCTCAAGTGGTAGAGCACTAGTCTTGAGCTGAAGAGCTGAGCGAGAGTACCCAGAACCAGAGTTCAAGCCCCACAACCAATAGAAAACAAAAAGTTCTTTTACCATCACAATTCAAATAAATTATGAAAAAAAGTTCTTTTTCTGTTTACATCATACTGAGGAATCAAACCCAAGGCTTCATTCATGCTAGGCAAGCACTCTACCACTAAGCCACACTCTCAGCACACTGTAGTCTATTTCTAAGTACACAAATTAAATTGAATACTCAAAAGGCCACAAATAGTTGGCATTTGGTGCTATAATTGTGAGGATACAGGTAAAGCTATTATGTAACAGCAGAAGCATGAAACACAAATACAAATATAAATACAAATATATACAATATAATATATATTATACAATAATACAAAAATATTATATACAAATATTTTGTAAATAAATACAAAAATAACAGAGGATGAACATTTTCTGGTGTGTTCCAAGAAAAGGAGACTCACACAAAAGAAAAGTGGAGAAAGGCCAGTTAGGAATGTCCCTAAGACTCTTATCTCTAATTAACTACCAGAAAACAAAGTGGTGCAGTAGCTCAATGTGGTAGTGGAAGCCTTGAGCAAAAAAGCTCAGGGACAGTTTCCTGGCCTGAAATTGAAGCCCCACAACAGAGGAACAAAGAGTCAGTCTATCTATCTATCTATCTAGAAAGGATTAGAAGAAAATAATTCAATGAAAAGACAAATCAGCATTGTATTTATAAATAGGTTGGATTGAGACCCCTAAGTACACTTAAAGGTAATTTAAAAAATAAATTAGAAATCCAAAACTATGAAAACACACTGCTATGGAGAATAAGAAGTCTCATCTATTTCTAGTGTGAACATAAATTGGTACAGCCTTTGTAGAGGACAAGTAGATATCAAAACTGTCCTCAAAATTTATCCTACATAGACATAAGAAAGGATTATTCACTGCAGAATTGGTCACCATAGCAAAAGACTAGAAACAGTCTAGATTATTGAGTATATATGTATACATCAGTATTCATATGTATATATAATATACATAAGTATACATATTACATATATTACATATATTTTACATGTTATACAATTATTAAATATCTAATGAAAAAAGCCTGTTTTCTCTCATAGTTACCCACCTTTGCTTGCTTTTTGGCTTGCTTCTTTGCTTTTTTCTGTAAGTGCTTACTTGGTCCTGTAGGAATGTCATTTCTTGCTTTTATGTAACTGTCATTGTCTTTTTCTTCCTCGCTGTCTTTATCTTCATCCTCCATTGTCTTTTTCAGGTTTTTATCATTTATATTTTTCTTACCATTCTTAAAAGAAAGTATGGGCAAAAGTCAAAACTATTTGATGGAAAGAGGATTCATGTTACCTAAAGATATTTCTACCCCTAATTTATACTAGCTGTATTATGCACAATATTTCAAAACATACCTAGACAAAATAAGACACTAATATGCTAGAAGCAATCTTTACAAAGTGAGAAAACTAGCAATTGAAATAGCAACAAAGCAATTTTGTAGGTAACTGAAATAAAAAGGAATATAATGAACTTTATTGGATACATGTTGAGTCATGTTGAATGTGTGCCCACTTGTAAATGCACTTTTTTGTTATTCAAGTGTTAATAAGTTGTTTCAAAGAAAGAAACTTTCTCTGAATGTTTGTGAAACTTTAGTTACTAAGGAACAGGGCAAGAGACTACTGATTCCTATAAAGTTGGAAAATATTCCTTTTCTTCCCTCATCCACTTAAAAGGAATCAAATTAATATAGCTTAAAAATGAGATATTATGCGGCTGGGAAGGTGGCTCAGTGGTAGAGCGCTCGCCTTGCATGCATGAGGCCCTGGGTTGGATTCCTCAGCACCACATAAGCAAAAAGAAAAAAGCCAGAAGTGGTGCTGTGGCTCAAGTGGTAGAGTGCTAGCCTTGAGCTGAAGAGCTGAGGGACAGCGCCCAAACCCAGAGTTCAGGCCCCACGACCAGATTCCCACCCCCCCCCCCAAAAAAAGAGATATGCACTTAAGATTTAAAAAGAGATATGCACTTAAGATTTAAGAGATTCATGGTGAGTTAAGTAAGAAGTATTTTTTTTTTTTTTGGTTCCAGACCTTGGCCTTGAATTCAGGGCCTGGGCAGTATACCTAAGCTTTTTTGCTAAAGGCTGGTATTCTATCACTTTGAGGCACAGTTCTACCTCTAGTTTTTTGGTGTTTAATTGGAGGTAGTGACTTTCCTGCCCTAGATGGTTTCAAGATGTGATCCTCAGCCTCTTGAGTAGCTAAGATTACAGGCATAAGCCACCAGGACCAGGCTGAACTACAGTATTTGTGTGTGTGTGTGTGCGTGTGCGTGCGTGTGTTTCTGTCAGTTGTAGGGCTGGCACTCAGGCCTGGACACTATCCCTGAGCTCTTTTGCTCAAGGGTAACTCTCTACCACTGTGTGTGTGTGTGTGTGTGTGTGTGTGTGTGTGTGTGTGTGTGTGTGTGTGTCCATCAGTTGTGGGGCTTGCACTCAGGGCCTGGACACTATCCCTGAGCTCTTTTGCTCAAGGGTAATGCTCTACCACTGTGTGTGTGTGTGTGTGTGTGTGTGTTTCTGTTAGTTGTGGGGCTGGCACTCAGGCCTGGACACTATCCCTGAGCTCTTTTGCTCAAGGGTAACTCTCTACCACTGTGTGTGTGTGTGTGTGTGTGTGTGTCAATTGTGGGGCTTGCGCTCAGGGCCTGGACACTATTGCTGAGCTTTTTTGCTCAAGGGTAACTCTCTACCACTGTGTGTGTGTGTGTGTGTGTGTGTGTGTGTGTCAATTGTGGGGCTTGCGCTCAGGGCCTGGACACTATCGCTGAGCTTTTTTGCTCAAGGGTAACTCTCTACCACTGTGTGTGTGTGTGTGTGTGTGTGTGTGTGTGTGTGTGTGTGTGTGTGTGTGGACACTATCGCTGAGCTTTTTTGCTCAAGGGTAACTCTCTACCACTGTGTGTGTGTGTGTGTGTGTGTGTGTGTGTGTGTGTGTGTCTCAATTGTGGGGCTTGCGCTCAGGGCCTGGACACTATCGCTGAGCTCTTTTGCTCAAGGGTAACACCCTACCACTTTGAACCACAGCTTTACTTCTGGTTTTCTGGTGGTTAATTGGAGATAAGAGTCTCACAGATGCTGGGCACCGGTGGCTCATGCCTGTAATCCTAGCTACTCAGGAGGCTGAGATCTGAGGATCACGGTTTAAAGCCAGCCCGGGCAGGAAACTCCATGAGACTCCTAACTCCAATTAAAAAAAAAAAAACAAACTCTAGAAAACCAGAAGTGGTGCTCTGGCTCAAGTGGTAGAGCCCCGCCTTGAGCTGAAGAGTGCAGGGACAGCGCCCAAGCCCAGAGTTCAAGGCCCCACAACAACAACAACAACAACAACAACAACAAAAGAGTCTCAGAGATTTCCTGACCAGGCTGGCTTTGAACCACAATCCTCAGATCTCAGCCTCCTGAGTAGTTAGGATTATGGGCATGAGCCACCAGCACTGGCCAATAAAGTAATTTTAATATGAGAAAAATACATCCAATATATAGGATTAAATAACAATAGCGAATGACAGATATCTCATTTTTAAAAGATGACTCTAACTTCTTATTCAAATCCTAAAGACTATTTAATTTTTAAGCAGGTAATATGGTTTGAATTCAGGGCTCGTAGTAGCTTGCTAGGCAGGTACTCTTAACTTTGGGCCATGCCCCCACCCTATTTTTCACTATTTCCTCTCCTGGCTTGTGCCTACTCTTTAGCCTTCTCATGGTGGTTAAGATCACAGATGAATACGCACCACTGTGTTCAGTAAGATAAAGTCTCATGGACTTTTCTGCACAGAATGGGGTAGGACCTCTCTCTTCCCAATTTAATCCTATATAGCTTAGGATGACAGGCATATACCACTGTTCCCAGCCATCAATCAGAAAGGGTCTTTATAAACCTTTCTTCCTGGCCTGGCCTCAAACCACAATCTTCTCATTCTCAACCTCCCAAGTAGCTAGGATTGTAAGGGTAAACCACTACCAGTCCCTGGCTTCAAATCCTAAGTTAGTTTCCTCCTTCCTTCCCTCCTTCTCTCCCCTCCCTCCTCCTTTCTCTCTTTCTCTCCCTCTTTCTTGCTCTCTCTCTCCCTCCCTCCCTCTGTCTCTCTCTGTCTCCCCCCCATCTCTTTCTGTCTGTCTCTCTCCGTTATTGTTGGTCAGTCATGGGACTTGAATTCAGGAGCTGGGTGCTGTCTCTAACTTTCCGCTCAAGGCCAGCACTCTACCATTTTGAGTCACATTGCCACTTCCCTAAATACTATTCTATTTCATAACATTAAGAAAGTTTCTCCTTGTTAATGTATAACATTTTAAAATGTGACAAAGCAACTCTAATAAAATCAATAGGGCCTCCTCCCCCCCAAAAAAAGAAGAAAAGAAAAGAAAAACTACTTTAACAAAACAGCTCAATGGTCTTACCTGATCATCTAAAACTGGGAGAGACAAATCAAGGAAAGATTCATGAACCAAGGAGACCTTAACCAAACAAAAAAAAATTGTAAAAGGAGGAAGACATTCCAATGACACATTATATATTAAGAGACTCCCTACTTTGGGGGCAAACTTTAATAAACCATTAAGCAAATTTGAAGTGAAAATGTATACAATGTTAAAGACTGAGTTACAGATAATAAGTTAAAAACGTTCAAGTAACTTCTTCAAGATTTTACAAGTACTTCCAGTGAAGAAACATATATATTGAGGTAGTCTGACAAATAGTATTTTATGAAGTTCATTTGTATGTTTGAAAGGAACAGCTGACACGCTGTACTCAATGACTATTCATGCACCAATCGAGCCTCGCAGCACCCACTTACAGTCCGGCATTCATCACACATGATTGTACTAGTTAGTTCACCACCAAAGATGCGATCCACAAAACTTGGTATTGACTTTTTCTTTTCATAATCTGTAAGTTAAAAAAAATTCACAATTACTTTTAAGTGAGAACACATAATTACTTACTATCTATATCTAAACTTTTAGTTTTAATTTCCCATCTACTAAATTTTCTTACAAGCTACTTTACATACAAACTACCTCCAAGTATCACACAAGTTAACATAACCACCTCTTATGAGTAAGAAAGAAAACACATAAATGTTCCTATGAAAGATCTAGCGGTGAGAGGAAACAAAATTCTGCAAGCTGGTAAAGCTTTCTATCATCCAACCTCTCTACTGGTAAATAAGCAGATCAAACTTGGCTGAATGATACTCTATCTTCCTGTTTCAGCTCTTTAACATTCTACTAGTGAATACTAAGAAGATACTGTGATAGCAAACTTGCGCAGAAATAAACGTAACTTGCTTTGTGAACACTAAAATTGAACTACTTCACAAACAATACATTCTTGGGGAATTATTTCAGACAAAAACCTTCCTTTTCATTTTTCTATATTTCCAGAAATTATCTAGATGAGCTTAATATAACGTGATATACTATTCTACAAAAAGATGAAGGGGAAGGTGGGGGAAGGCTAATGGAATACAATAGAGGTGGTGAAGTTGTTTAAGGTATACTGTACAGAGGTGTGGAGTTACTATTTCGAACCGCTCTTGTGAAATTAGTGTATGTTAATGAAAAAGACATGTGTTCAGTGTTTATGCAGAAAGTTGTACAAAATGTGATGGTAAGCACCATCTCCTTGGTGCTGGCCAGGTTGTAAGGACAACAGGAAGTAGAGATGCTATGAGTTGAATGAAACTAAGCTTTACAATCTAATGAAAATTAAATAAAAATAAAAATTTAGTTCTTCAGTTTTACCAGTCACCATGGCTAGTGCATTTTATATAGGAAAGTACACAGTCATCTCACCATCTGATGTTTGCTTGATGGATCTGTCCTAAATCCTACAGACCATACATCAGAACTACGTTCACTTCTTGATAAGAACCAGCCACTAACAACTCATAATATAAGTGCAACTCATCTGCTACTGCCACATTTAATTGCAAGTTGCTTATTTGTCTCAGATGGGATGTCACTGTGTTTTCCAAAGCGACCTTGAATTTACAATCCTCCTGCCTCTGCATCCCCAGTGTTGGAATTACAGGCATGTTCTACCACACCTGGCTTGTGATGTCATCTTAGCTATATCTTTGTAAATTTCACAATAATAAAACATAAAAAATACACAAGTTAAAATTTTCTAACTATTGAAAATATTGAAATACTAAATAATTTTTAGTTAGTAATGATATAGAGAAATTAAAGGTTTATAACACTTTGTGGCATTGAAATTCAAGTGCCAGAAATCCCATCCTATGACACAGAGGAATTCAATCTTAGTGTTTGAGTTCAAAGAGTTAGACATTACCTTTAACTTTATTTTTTAGTTCTTCATCCAATTTTTCAGTAGAATTACCAAAAGCTTTAAGAATTCCTTTACTCACTCTCTAAAAGTAATAAGATAGATATATACTATTAAATACTATTAAATTTAAATTTTATAGCTGTTTTCCTTTATTCTTTCCTGAAGAAAGAATAAATAGGAAGTAGCCCAGATTTACAGAAATTAAAAATATGTCCAAAATCACATTTTCTAACAATTCAAAGCAGCTAAACAGAATTATGCATTATGCTTTCTAGATATAAAAAGTAGTATTAGGAACTCATGCTCAGAGAGTAAAGATATACTGCAAATGGGGACTGTTTTGAAAAAAATGTTTCCAGTACTCTGCTGCTGTACTGGTAAAATTAATATAACTGAGCCTTAAAGGACATCAAGTGAACTAGAACATCACAAAAAAAAGAGAATCATTTCTCATTTTCTGGAGTTATTCTGACAAAGATAACATTGGTTGAAAAAGCTGGTATTGAAAAAACTTAAAAAAAGTTGTAATGGCCTCAGTGACTAGCTTTAATAACCGTTAAGATAGCAAGTGGCAGAGAAGTTCATGAGATTAGAAAATTTGGTGCTCATAATATGCTAACTTGGTTTTCTTCTGCTCTCATTCCATCCAATAAATAGCGAAGTAGTTCTTGGCTATCTTGCTGCTGGTAGCCTTTAAATCGTACTGCTCTATGGAAAACAAACACAAAGAAAGAAGAACATGTATAAGTCCAATAAAATATGAAGCTAGGGCTGGGAATATGGCTTAGTGGTAGAGTGCTTGCCTAGCACTCATGAAGCCTTGGATTCAATTCCTCAGTACAACATAGACAGAAAAAGCCAGAAGTGGCACTGTGGCTCAAGTGGTAAGGTTGCTGCTAGCCTTTAGCAAAAGAGCTCAGGGGCAGCATCCAGGCTCTGAGTTGAAGCCCCAGGACTGGCAAAAAAAAAAAAAAAATTGTTTTTTAATTTCTTTATTATTATTTTTATTGTTGTTATTTATGTGGTAATGAGAAATTGAGCCCAGGGCCTCATGCATGCTAGGCAAGTACTCTACCACTAAGCCCCATTCCCAGCCCTGATATTTTAATTTTTAAATCTTACGATTTTATCCCAAATGTATTTCTCTTTCACCTAAGAACAGCTATGGCAAATTAGCACATAAAATACATTTCATTTAATCCAAATAAATTTGCTTTAATATATGCACACACACACACACACATGCACACTCGCATGCGCGTGCACACACACACACACACACACACACACACACACACACAACTAGGCTGATGATGATGCTACTACAGGTTTAAAATTTCTTCCCAGCATCTTGCTGATGCACTGAAGGCACAATTGAGTGGATACTCACTTTTTACAGACCTGAGAAAAGAGTTCTCGAGGCGTCACAATTCCCTTTTTGGTCTCTTGCATCTCATTTAGAAACTGGCTCATGGCTAAAGTAAGAGGGCCAGGGGGCTCAAGGTGTATTTCTAAGGATTCCTGAACATGGGAATAAAAATTAATTTTCAGTCAAATTTTGGAATTATTTACTTCATCAAAATAGAACCAATTAATATATATTGCCAATATTTCTGGTACAACTGTCCTAAAGGTGGTTTGTAAAGCACTTATTTGGCCAGGTGACAGTAGCCTGTAATACTAGCTACTTAGCAGGGTGAGAACTGACATGGTTCTGACATGGTTTCCTGGACAGGAAAGTCTGTGAGACTCTTATCTCTAAATAATCACCACAAAACTGGAAGTAGTGCTGTTGCTCAAAGTGACACAGGGTTAGCCTTAGAGCTCAGGGAAGGCATCCAGGCCCTGAGTTTAAGTCACATGGAGTTCTCTCTCTTACACACACACGCACACAAAGCACAATACATGTGAAGTTGAAGCAGGAGAATTGAGAGTATAGTCCTCCTATAGTAACATCCTATTGGAATAAAAGAAGACCCAGATATTTTCCCTTCAAAGTTTGTCCTATGATGAATTCAACTATTTTTAGTTTTAGATCATCAGGAACTTATTCCCTAGGAATGAAAGCTAAAGCACATTGAAAATAACAAAAATAAAGAAGATAAAATTCATTTGGCTATATAGCACTTAAGTCACCTTGAAATACTTTAAAACCAAAAAAGACTTTGCATGCTGGTGACTCACAATGATAATCCTAACTACTCAGCAAGGTGAGAACTGAAGATTGAGGTTCAAAGCCAGCCCAGGCAGAAAAGTCTGTAAGACTTTTATCTCCAATCAACCACGATAAAGTTGTGGTTCAAGACAGAAATGCATCTTAATTCTTTAAAGCAATTTAGAGTACATATATTCACAGAGAGAAAGATTACTCATAAAATTAAAAAAAAAAGTAAGTACGTACTGTTAATGCCAAATCAGGTGGTTCAATTTTTACAATTGTTCCAGACATTTTCACTTCTTTCAGTAGTTCTCTAAGCACTGGTGTTTGTGATAAATTCTACAATGCAGGATGGAAAAGAAAAGGAAAATGGTTTATAAAGGCCAAACAATTCATTGAATATTTCTTTAGGTGCATATTCTACTAAAACAGAAAATCACACCAATTCTGAAATATGCATTGATTTGTTCTTAGAACACGAAACATGACAGTATACTCATACCCAACTCTACATAGTTCATAAAGTGACTCATTAGTTCAAAAGGGCATTCTTCTCTCTCATTGCCCAGTGGAAAGGACCTGTTCCTACCACAATTTTCTCAATGTTACCTATACCTGCCCATTTGTTTCTGTACCAGCTCATCTGTGCCTCCCTGATCCAAATGCAAGGTTTCTGAGGGCAGGTGCCTTGACTGCTTGAAACCTTATATATCCAGAACTTATCACAATGCTTTATTGTATGCAACAAATATTTTTATGTTCATTTTGAATATACAGACATAAATTATAGGACAGAAGCAGGAGATCCTCAGTATGCTAAGTGACAAATCCTGTGGGGGAAATGTCAGATTTTTTTTAAATAGGAAAAAAGGAAAAACAGTACCTGCATAACTGCATTGAAGAAGCATGTATTTCCCAAATTACTGAGTCCTTTCACTGTTATTTGGGAGGCAGAATTCATGGGAGGACTTTCTTTAGCTATGCTTTCCTTTTTTTCTCTCTCTTGTTCATTTTTACTCTCTTTTTCTAATTTTTTATTTTCAAGTTCAATGTTCCCATTATCTTTTTCTGTTTTGAAAAGAAAAAGAAGAATTTTGGGAAAATAGACAATGTAAGCATACTGAATGCAAAGTTATATTTAGAACACAGTATTAACATTTCTGATTTCTACCTCATGTTTTTACTTGCTATCAATTTGATTTTAAATGTTCTCTAATGAATATAAGTAATTTACCATAGAAAGAAAACTATTAGAAAAATACTCAGAACTGATGTAAGCACTAGTTTGAAAAATAAAACCAAACTGTATATGCTTTGGTTTACATCATTCCTTTATTATTACATTAAAATTTTCTATAAATGAGCACATCTTATCTCCTGAATAGACACTAAACAATTAAGTATAGACTGTGCATATAATATGTGACTAAATGAATTTGAAAGGCCAAAAAACATAGTTAAGAACAACACTGATTCTGAGAAAGATACTTATTGTCTATAAATATCTCAGGAATAAGAATGAACCTGAATATGATGATATAAGGATTGTGTTTTGAGGTCATTCCATACAAAACATTTATGAGATCTTATCTCAAAAATAAGCCAGATAGGGGCTGGGAAGGTGGCTCAGTAATAGAGTGCTTGCCTTGCATGCATGAGGCCCTGAGTTTGATTCCTCAGCACCACATATGCAGAAAAAGCCGGGAGTGGCACTGTGGCTCAAGTGGTAGAGCACTAGCCTTGAGCTGAAGAGCTGAGGGACAGCACACAGGCCCAGAGTTCAGGCCCCATGACCAGCAAAAGAAAAAAAAAAAAAAAGCCTGATGTGGTGGCTTACACCTATAATCTTAACTATTTGGTCCAGGGCCAGCCTAGGCAAAAGTATAAGACCTATCTGAAAAATAAAGTAAAAGTAAATGTAAAAGCAAAAGAACTGGGACATGGTTCAAATTATAGACCGATTCAATTTTCAAGCCCCAGTAACTAACACACACACACACACACACACACACACACACACACACACACACACAATCTCAAAAATATCTGACCATTAGGAACTCCAACACACACACACACACACACACACACACACACACACACACACACACACACACACACACACAATCTCAAAAATATCTGACCATTAGGAACTCCAAATCTTTGTTTTGTTTGCAGGAAGACCAGAATATTTCTACTACAAAAAGCACTACAGTAAATACAATAGAAAGCAAACCTTTATTTTACTTTGCAGAAAGACTAGAATGTTTCTATTACAAAAAGTACAGGTGGCTCATGCCTGTAATCCTAGCTACTCAGGAAGTTCAGATTTGAGGATCACAGTTTGAAGCCAGCCTGAACAGAAAAGTTCTCAAGAGACTCTTACCTCCAATTAACCACTAAAAATCAGAAGTGGAACTGAGGCTCAAAGTGGTAGAACTCTAGCCTGAATGAAAAAGCTCAGGGACAGTGCGCAGCTCCCCATGACCAACAAAAATAAATAAAATAAAAATATAAAAAGAAAGAAAATCTACAATAAACTCCAGGTCTGGGTTATGGGAACAGGGCCTCCTGGTACTACTGTAGGTCATGCCCTCAATATATATGACTATGCCATTTCACACATCTCCTCCAGCAATAATAATACATAACATTAAATAAACCCCTTGACTCAAAAATAGTGTCACAGTATCAGCCATAATTAATGTAACCAGCTATATTACTAGTAGTATAATAACTAAAGCTAAATGTAAACAGATAAGCAAGGACTGGCACTGAAGAAGGAGGATTATAAATTCAAGGTGAGCCTAAAGTCCATAAAGAGTCCCTGTCTCAGATAAACAAACATAAATATATTACCTGGTTTTGGAGCTGTAATACGAGCTTGTTTTCTAATATAATCAACCACTTGGCCCAATCGGTTTGAACTACAATACTGGACTTCCTCATCACAGATATAACACCTATGTCCCAAAAGATCAGGGAAGAAAAATGACAAACTGACAATTCAAAAAAGGAGAGACAAATCATAATACTTCAGGGAACCCAAAGTATGTAACTACCCAATTATTTCTATTAGAAAAGTTAGAAAAAGAAAAAAAAAAAAACTCTGGGAATGGTGGCTCACAACTATAATCCTAGTTACCCAGGAGGCTGAGATGGAGAGAGAACAGAAATCAAGGTCAGGATAAAGAAAGAATTCATGATGCTCCCAACTCAAACCAATCTAGGTCAACCCAGGCAAAAGTGAGATTTTATTTGAAACTTAATGAAAGAAAAAGAGGCTGGGAATGTGGCTTCAGTGGTACAGCACTTGCCTAGCAAGCACAAGACCCTGAGTTCAAATCCTAAAACCATTCCCCCAGAAATGGAAAAACTGAGAATAAAAATTCCGTTTTCTTTTAGAATCCAATACAAACTAACTCTGATTTATTATTAGTAAGGTTATCCATGGAAGTGGTGCTATTGCTCAAGTGGTAGAGGACTAACACTGAGCACAAAGAGGCTCAGGGACAGCCTCCTGGCCCGAGTTCAAGCCAGAGGACCAGCAAAACAAACAAACAAAACCCATAAATGTAGATCCTCATGTCAGTATGAGAAGTTACTGCATCAATGAAATAAATACATTAGGTTAGGATTAAGGGAAAAATTAAAACAAAAACAAAAACAAACAAACAAACAAAAACCTCTTGTCATGTACACTGGTGGCTCAAGCCTGAATTCTGATTACTCCTCAGGAGGCTGAGATCTCACGATTGAGGTTCAAAGCCAGCCTGGGTAGGAAAGTCCCCATGAGCAAAAGAGCTCAGGTACAGCACCCAGGCCCTGAGTTCAAGTTCCATGGACAACAACAACAACAACAAAAAGATTATCCAGAATTATAGTGAAATATAAATACTGTGAAAATTCCAAACACTTTAACTGACTGAACACAATGTTAACACCAAAAGTTTCTTCTACCAGGAGCTGGTGAATCACACCTATAATCCTAGCTAATCAGAAGGCTGAGATCTGAGGATCATGCTTCAAAGCCAAACCCAGATAGGAAATTCCATGAGACTCTTTTCTCCAATTAACCACCAGAAAACCAGAAGTGGTGCTGTGGCTCAAAGTGGTAGAATGCTAGCCTTGAGCTAAGGAGCTCATGGAATTTAAGCCCCACGACAGACCCCCCCCCCCAAAAAAAGCTTTTCTGTACATAATTTAAATTATAGATCTACACCAACAAAAATTAATGGATTATACAACTGACAGAAGATGTTTAGTGAGCCTTGTGGCAAAAGTAGCTTTTAATGAAGTAAAAATGTGTTTTCATGATGTTATGATGTCATGATGTTTCATGATAGGAACAATATCAGACCTGGCATTTAATTTTCACACAAATTGATTACAAACATTTTACTACATTCTTCGCACCCCCCCACCCCACCCCCGTCAGTCCTAGGGCTTGAACTCAGGGTCTGGACACTGTCCCTGAGCTTCTTTCCTTCAAGGCTAGTAGTACTCTACCACTTGAGCCAAAGCCCCACTTCTGGCCTTTTCTGTGTATGTGGTACTGAGGAATCTAACCTAGGGCTTCATACATGCTAGGCAAACACTCTACCACTAAGCCACATTCCCAGCCCTTTACTACATTCTTATTCATCATAATTTGCTCCTAATATCTAATCTTTAAATTAAAACCACCCACCGTGTGTGTGTGTGTGTGTGTGTGTGTGTGTGTGTGTGTGTGTGTGTGTATGTGAGTGAGAGAGAGAGCATGTGCAAGTGCGTATCATCTATCTATCTGAAGATACCTAAATTATATATATGCTACAACCCTCTGCTTGTGCAATACTAAGCAAAACATTCTCATATCATATCATCATATTTGTTAGCCTTCCGTGATGGTTAAAGAAAATAATAAAGCTACAAAAACCTACTTTCTTCCTTGTAAACATTTCCAAGTAATTTCATTTCCCAATAGTTTCACTTCCTAATATTTCAAATATCCACTAAGTGGACACAAGAATTGGAACTCACCATACACTCCAGTTGTCCAAATTAAGAACCAAACAGTGAGGCTCCGAGCGAGGTGTCTTGTAGTGCTTCAAGGCATGCTGCTCCTGGGAATCCCTGCCACAGCCCTAGGAAATCATAACCATCAACCTTAAAGCCACAAAAACCCACCAAAAGAAGACGGAATTCAGAATCTTTCATGAATACAGAAGTCCCTCAGAACTTCTGCCATTCTTACTACTTGACAATAAAGTATTCAAATCTAGAAAGAGTCTGGATTTTGTAAAAACAAAAAAACAAGCTTTAAATATCCATAGGCAATTGAGGATCTTGTAAGTACTCTTCATCTCCAGCCTGTCCTTCCCAGACCCAATTAAACTACACGGATTCAATCACTCATCAGATCTGGACTGGACATCTTAACAACCTTTCAGATATTGTCTTCAGCTGGGCACGGGTGGCTCACACCTATAATTCTACTTACTCAGGAGACTGAGATCTGAGAATTGTAGTTCAAAGCTAGCTTGGGAATAAAAGTATATGAGACTCTAATTAGCCAGCAAAAAGCTAGAGGTTGAGCTGTGACTCAAGTGGGCAGAGCACCAGCCTTGACCAAAAAAGCTATGAGAGCACTAGGCCCTGTATTCAAGCTCCTGTGCCAACACACACACACACACACACACACACACACACACACACACACGTGTGCGCGTGCGCGCGCTCCCGACACACAATCACTTCAGTTTCCTTCATCACATACATTTTCAGTTTATGTTTTTTTGTTTTTGTTTTTGGCCAGTCCTGGGTTTTGAATTCAGGTCCTATGCCCTGTCCCTAAGTTTCTTTTGCTTGAGGCTAGCACTCTACCACTTGAGCCGCAGCACCAAGTCCAGGCTTTTCTGTTTATGTGGTGCTGAGGAATCAAACCAGGGCTTCATGCATGCTAGGCAAGCACTCTGCCACTAAACCACCTTCTCAGCCCTCAGTTTAATTTCTTAAAACAAAGGTCTATTTGTACAATTTAAAAATTCTTTTTTCCTTCAAATTCCTACTGAACAAAACTGATACCCTCTGACCTAACTTCCCTTTACAGTGTCAACTCTCAGTCTTCTTTCTCACCTCACAACTATAGCTAAAAGCACGTTGTTCCATACATCCTGGAGCCTTTACCATTACTGACACCTAACCAAATCTCACCCACTCTTCAAGCTCTTGTTCAAAAGCCATCTCTTCAAAGAAGTTTATGCTAATATCCTCAATGAGAAAAAATTATATTCTTCCAGTAAACATTCCCCCACAAAACATGGTGTTGCCCTAGCCAGATATCCATGCATTGCCCCTAACATGTGGCCTGATAAGAGCTCATAGCCAGTCTACCCATCCCAAGCAATTATCCTCAATGAAAGGGAGCTGCCTTGCCCAGGATTCCCACTTCTCCCCCAAAACTGGGCCATATCCAATGGCTCTATGGCACGGTACAAGGGCCTAGCCCCTTGCCTCAATTCTGACCTCTTAAAGAGCAGAGTGCACTGAGGTTAGCTGAGGCCCTACTGCAACCGGTTCTACATTCTACTACTTCCTCTACCTAATTCTACTTCTCAACACTTTTTCTAGTGTTGTACCTGAGAAAATTCTGAAATAATCTCCAAAGACACCAAATCTCACACTTGGATTCAGTTCCCCAACAGCATGACTTATACCTGGCCGGCAACCTAATGAGCCATATGGAGCTTTCAGGTATTATCTTCTAATATAGTTCAGAGAGCTCTCTAAAATCCCATGTTGACCAAAAATTAAGCATTACCTGATGGCCACATTTGAGACACAGCCAAACTGAAGGGTTTTCTTCTGTTTCTTCTTCAGACTTATCTTTAACTTTATTGTCTGTCTTACAGTCTTCGCAAATATTCCATTCCACATTCACTAAAGCTTTTTTCAAATTACCTTGTTCCAATCCTTTTCTAATATGTCTGCATATGGGTTCTATAAAATAATTTTTAAAAGGACATGTAAGAAAAGTATCTTTGACTCAATTGATGTCAAAATTTACCTACTGAAACTTGAAAAATTATTTTAACAAACACGTTTTAGATAATCAGAAAACTTTTGCTTAATATTTGAATAGAATGAGATGATTATATGTGAAAGACTATTTGTTTTCTTTTTCTTTTTTTGTTTTTGGTAGGAGTGCTAGGGATTGAATGCAGGGTCTTGCATGTGCTAAACAAGTATTCTAACACGGAGCTAAAACTAAGCCCCCCACAAACACCAGGTGTCCTGGGTACTACTCTCCCAGCAGAGTTTGAAGTGCTTTTGAAGTTTCTCTTGAACACTATCATCTAGAAGATACTATTATTCCCAATAACAAATTAGAAAAACTAAGCTACTGTCCAAGATCAAAAGTACTAGGTGAGACTATACTAGGGGTTGGATTCAAGTCTCTCTGACTTCATAACTCATGCTTCCAACTTTGACTTCAGGGAGTAAAGGCACTTCGAAAAGGCCAAAGCCAGTATAAAGACAAGTAATGACAGTCACACTAAGTGTTAAGTATGCAGCCGGACCCAAGATTACTGGGGATAGATGAGTAATGGGTTTTGGTGGAGTTACTTCGGTCACACTGATGTCTTAAGAACTAGTCAATGACACAACTGGCTTAATGTCCAATGAATATGACTCAAGAAATAATATACATGAAAATATGATCATGAAGAAAAACTACTGACTCTCAGTCATCAAAGGAAACACAAACTAAAGTAAGAGGCTATCAGCCAGGGGCAGGTGGCTCATGCCGACAATCCAGCTATTCAAGAGGCTAGATCTGGAAAACTGCAGTTCAAAGCTAGCTGGGGCAGAAAAGACTACGAAACTCCATTTTCAATTAACCAGAAAAAAAGCTGTTGGTCTAGACCAGACAGACACACAAGATGAGCAAGCAGGAGGGAAATATTTGGGCACTTTATTGGGCTGCCAAAGGGCTTGTAAAATAGCACAGCATTTCTGAATGGCAATTAGCAACATAATCAAAAGAGCTTCAAAATCTTTATACCCTTTGAGTCAAAATAATTCTACTTCTAGGATCTGTACCAAGAAAATAACGCAGATATACAAGATGTTCATGATTGTGTAACTGATAACACTAAAAAGTAAAGGCTTCCTAAATTTGCCAGAGGATTAGCTAAGTAAATTACAAACTATGCACTCATGGTCCTTCCATCAGTGGGATAATGAAATAATGGGATGGACTATTTAATGACATGTAGAGATAAACATAAAAATGCAGATTACATAACAATCTCATTTTTATATATTAAAATATCCATTCAGGAATAAGAACAATTTAAAAATTCAATTAGTGAAATATACCTAAAGATTCAGAGGTGTCATCAATTGCAACAGATTTTCCCTTTGTCCGTTTCTTTCCCATGTTGATACTTTATGGAGTACTTACTGACACAAAATAAAAATCTAGAAAAAAAGATAAAGTTAGCTTGACCAAAAAAAAAAGTGTTTCACATTGCTCGAGGATACAGAAAAACAGTTGAGCCACATACAATACTTTGCATGTCTAGCAATTTTTATAATTTACAAACACAGCTGACAAATCTACCTACTTTGTGTGTGTGTGCGTGTGTGTGTGTGTCCTGGAGCTTGAACTCAGGGCGTAGGCACTGGCCTTGAGCTTTTGGTTCAAGGCTAGCACTCTAACATTTAAGCCACACCTTCACTTCCAGGTTTTCTGTAATTAATTTGAGGTAAGAGTTTCACTGACTATTCTGCCTGGGCTGGCTTTGAAATCCTCAGATTTTAACCTCCTCATGAGCTTAGATTACAGAAATGAACTAACCAACAAAGAAACACAAGGATACATATAAAAAGAAACATTTTACATGTTTTTTCCTGCTTTAAAGATAGCATTTAAGAGGCTTTCAGTCTACTGAAAGTGTATTCATTTCCTAATAAACTTTGCTACCACTTTATTTTTTTAAAAAGGTAACATTTAGAATAATACAATACAATGTATCCTATCTAGAACTGTAGACTTTTAGGGGGGGAAAACAGTACTTGCCTCCAATTTCACTTCCTCTAGTCTGTGCTGTATCACAAACACAATCAGAGAATAAAGGCCACTCTTATCTCATATATCACTTTTTTGATAGAAAATATTTAATAGTAAATCATTCCAAGCCTAGTCTCAACTTGACATTCAGTTCTTTATCATCTGACCACACTGCTTTGGCAACCTTGTCCCTCATTATTCTTCAACAATGACAAACAAGCTACTAAAGTTATAATTAGATGGTGCTTTTGTTCTTTAAAGTCCTTCCAATAAACATTACCACATCAGATTTTCCCAACAAACCTTTGAATGAGGACATGTCACTAAAGAAGAAATTCAGAAGCAAATGGTTTAAAGATCACAAGGCGGCAGGTATGTAACTAAAAGTTCCAAGACCATCCTTCTGTACAAGTCTACCCTTCCAATCAAGTTCATCTCTTCAGTATCCTCCTAAAAACAACTTGCCCCCTTTTCTGTGCTTTTGCTTTCTAGTTGAGATGTTTTTGCCACCTGTACAAATCTTAGAGTATCTCCCAGTATTCCATTTCAATGAAGCGTTAGGCAAGTCTGGTGCTCTAAATAACAACCTCTCTTTAGCACATCTCCTGTGTTTAAAGTGTGCACAATGCAGTTTCCTTTTATACGATATAACAGTGGACTGCTTGGGGTTTTTCTTTTTGAAGACTTTACATGCTTTTTTTTCTGTACAATGTAAATAAAGTCCTACGAGAAAGACAGTTCTAGACAATACTTCCAAGCTGCTTATAGATTTAGTAGTGTCAGAACACAGTCAGTATTCAAGAAATATTTCTCGTGTTGCAATAGGAAAATAGAATAGTACCTGAGTCATAAAAGATGATTACAAGGTGCAAAAGTAGGTACATAAGAATGGAGTGAACAAGCTCTGGAGAAAAAGAAAAAGATGAAGAAGGAAGAAATCAGTGAAGAAGGCGGTACTAGTAAACGTGCTGCTCATACTCCAAAGGGAAGCTTGAAGGACGAATTGTAACCGCTGCCGGAGGAGGGCAATGAGTGGACTGAATGGTCTGCAAAGATCTCCTGTAAATTTATGACAGCTACAGACGCAGATGACAGAACCGTGGAAAGAACTGTGTCACTGGCTATGAAACATCGCTAAATCCATCCGTTTAGTTTGAGATGCGTCTTCGGATAAGAACTAACTACAGTCTTGGTCAAATAAATCAAAGCTAGTCTGGCCAGGCCTCCTCTCGATCCCATGCCCTGCTATTTCTGCCCTCCTGGGCTCCCGCTGCCTTACCCTGTGCCATCCCAAGCTGTGTGTGGACAAACTTTGGCCAGCCGGTTTTCCATGCTTTGCTGAGACTGGGCCTCTCCCACAAGCCTTCGGACTGGACAGGTGACAGATCCTGCTTTTCCTACCAGCCACGTGGTGGCAGCTGCAAACCTGGCCTAGACTCAGTTTGCACCACGGCTCCCCTCCCCGGCCCCAAGTCAACCACCCCCCGAGGACCAGCGCCTGCCACCCCTGTCTCCCTTCTTCTTTCCCTCAAACTGCTCCGCGCCATGGGGGGCGGGGAGGGGGGGGGGAGATCTCAGGGTCCACAGGGGGCGGGAGGGACAACGACCCCGGCAACTGATTGGTCAGCTCCTAAACTGACAAAAAAGGGAACCAATGAGAACTCGGTACCGGGAAGGGACCCGGCAACGCGGTCCAGAAAAGAGGGAGGGGACCCCCCCAAAAAAGGGTTGGAGGGCAGAAAATTCCAGATCTCTGAGCCGAGAAAGTTACACAAGTGGTGACTGGGAGTCAGCAGGACCAGAACTCACCCACGGCGACAGCGCCCATAACTGCATCCTCCAAGGGGCCTCTGGGCTGGGAAGCCAGCTGCGTCTTCCTCCCTCCCGGTGACGAAGAGAGAGCGAGCGACACACCGCCGGAGGGACCCTCGGAACGCAGCCACTTCCGGAACGCGGCATTATGGGAAGCGACTCGACCGGGCTCCTCAGTGGGCGCATGCGCGCGAGTCACGACTTGCGTGGCGGTACTGGTGTGCGCTGGGCTCCTTGCTGGCGGAGTTCCTGGTGGGTGGTCACCATAGTTACTTCTGGGTTCCTCGAGTGCAGTTCCCTGAAGGTGGTCTGATTCTTGTCCTCCAGAGAGCTCTCTTCCTTAAAGGCATTACTTCTGAAGGCTGGCCAAGATGGGGAGCAGGTAAATTACTACACTCCTCCTCCTCCCCAAAGACCCCGAACCCCTTTCCTCAAAAACCCAAACCCAAACGACGACCGTAATTCTATTGTGGGAGAGATAGGAGAGCCATGCTCCAGAAAGAAGGTCTTCAAAAGGGAGGAGTTCACCGCTTGGCCATCCGTACTGAGTTCATGATGTTGTTGTAAAGAATTGGGGGACACATGGAGGTAGCGAACAGGATAGTTTATTAGGAAAGGAAGACAAACGGAAATAGGTCAGGTAGGAAAAATAATACAGAAACCAGACTTGACTGTCAGCACATCTGAAAACAGGTGCAAGGAATAGTGTAATATTCTAATGGTAGTTGTGGTGGGAAAATAATTGGGGATATTTGATCATTCTTGCTATTACTGTTGTATCAGTTAGGCTCAGGGATCTTAAGGCTGATCGTGTTTAAATTTGAGTCATTAGGACCAATGCTTGGGCATCCCTTTAAACAAAGGACAAATCCTGCCAGATGCTCCGCGTCAAAACAGTTATCTATTGCAGTATTTTCCTGTGCACCTTGTGCCCCGCCCCCCCGCCCCCCTATTTTCCTACAAGATTTTCCCAGGATAAGTGCTTTTCAGATGTAAAATTTTCTTGCTCAGTGTCCTAAGCACACTAATTATTTAGGCAGTCAGACAAGATCAGAGTTGTCCTTTTATTTTCTTTTTAAAAAATGTATGTTGCAACCTAAGGGAGTGTAAAGCTTAAAGCAAATAGTGCCTAAACTTTTAGTCGAACTATTTGTCAATACATTTGTGTTTTGTTTTAGTGCCTATTTATTTTTAAAAATAAAGTTGTTAAAGTTTGCAAGGTCTCTGTTGTATCGATGTCCATATCGATGTCCATAGATGTTAGGACATTCTCTAAAACGAACGTAGAATTATGTGCATTATTACATAATTTGAATTGGAAAAGAAAATCGTTTCTAATTATTATCCTGTTGTTGTACCCTTAGAGCTGTCTTATTATTAACAAGGATTAACCTGTGCGCACATGGTTCCTTCCAAGTTAGTCCATTGAGCAAGACACTATGGACACCATGGCTAACAACCATCATTTGCAGCTTCCTAATGCCCTGCTTTCCTCAGGGACAATGGAAATTACCGTGCCTGGGAAAATACTATAAATGGAAATACACCGCCTACCTATGCCAATCTGTATTTAAGGAGCATTACACTATAGCAACGCGATTTTTTATTTTTGCCAGTCCTGGGGCTTGAACTATAAGCCTAGGCACTGTCCCTGAGCGCAGTTCTAAGCCAGCCTGGGCAGGAAAGTAGGTGAGATTCTTTTCTTCAATGAAGCAGCCGTTTTTTTAGACGGAAGTGGAGCTTTGGCTCAACGGGTAGTGCGCTAGCATTAAGGAGAAAAAATGCTGTGGACAATGCCCAGCCCCAGAGTTTAAGTCCCAGAACCAACAAAACAAAAGGCACCAACCTGCTCTATATTTAAAAGTGCCCACTATACTCCAACAATAGCAGCACCTGCAAGTGACAATAGGGTTGGGATGGAGATGTGTAGGGGGAAAAAAACGGACTGAGAAGCGGGCCAAAAAACTCCTCCTTTAAGTTTCGAGTACGCCTGGTCGGAATCCTAAGATTAGAGCACTGACGGCTTCCGGGGTCGCGGCGTTGTGCGCATGCGCTAGCGCAGACGCTGCTACTTTCGCCAGAATGGTTTGTGAAGTCCGAGTTGCGGTTCCCTAGAATTTCCTCTCTTTTTATGAGAGCTGGGAACCGTGCAACCAGGAAACACAGGGATGCACCAGGGGCCACGCTCTAGGTGAGTCTTTCATCAGGCGCCAGTGATAATGGGGTCTGGGCACTCCGGGAGGGGGCTTCAGCGTTCTTCTGGAGTTGGACGTGATTGACTCCGCCTTCCCTCGCGCTGCCCACTGCTCATTGGCCAAAGCCCGCCTTGGCGTTTCTTGTCCCGCCCACAGCCTTTCGCTGGCCCAATCAGTTATTAGATGCGACAGCGCCTGGCTGCCGGGCCTTTTTCAGAAACGTGTCAACCTGTGTACTCTGAACTGTGCCCTTTGTTTTAGAGAAATTACACACAAGGACAAGAGGCTCCTCGCAGGACGCTCTCACAGCAGTCACTGAAATCGGCAGTCATAAAATGATCTCGAAGGTTATTATTTGTTGGGTGAGGAGAGCAGTGCGATCTCAGCGAAATTTGTCAAATAAATGACTTGTGACATTTCCTTTCATAGTTGTTCTTGCCCGGATCACTGTCCTGTATTTGCTAATTACAGTTCACCAGACCCAGATTCAGTGGGACCCTCTGCCAACTTCAATAGTTGATGACTTGAAACAAGCTCTAAATAAGTGCTGTTGACTCTCAAAATTATACCTTCAGTCTGTAAACTACTTAATTGTAGTAAACTGCCTGCTGGACATCTCAACTTAATAGTTGACTTAATAGGCACCTCGCAACTTCCTGTGTCCAAAACCAAGCTTCACCTTTCCAAAATCATCATTCCTCTCTACATATATGGCAAGTCCATCCTTTCAGTATCTTAGTTATTCTTGCATAGCTGACATAATTCATCATTAAATCTTGTTGGTTCTACTCATCATATGTCCAGAACCTGAACGTTGCTCACCACCTTAACCACCACTACCCTAATTAAAGCCACCATCCTCTCTTCCCCCAGGTCATTACAGTGCTTCTCTGGTCCTCCTGCCTCCCGCTACATTTTCACTACATTGTAACTGAGGTGACAACCACAGCTGTGTTCTTACAGGAAACTCAGTAGTGGAAGGATTTGTTTCCAAGGTCCTTCACATGGTTTTTGTCAGCAATCAATTCCGCAAGGGTTATGAGAATGAAAGACCATTTTTCTGTTGACTGTTAATAGTTCCTGTCAATGTGGGCATTTCTAACATGTTCTATAGAAGGAACTAATACCATTTGGCCTGAAAAAGAAATGTTCTAGTTCAGATAAGTTTGTGATAGTCAGCATATACTTTTGAAACCCTGGGTTTGATTCCTCAGCACCACATACACAGAAAAAGCTGGAAGCGGTGCTGTGGCTCAAGTGGTAGAATACTAACCTTGAGCAAAAGAAACTCAGGGACAGTGCCCAGGCCCTGAGTTCAAAACTAAGGATTGGCAAAAAAAAAAAAAAGGTATGCCTGTGTAATTTGCTGAATTTGTCCAAGATAAATACTATCCCAGTTTGGGTGATAGGATGAGAACAATATCAACCACTATCTCAATTGGTCAATTAGTACTCAGTTTCCGTAAGTAGACCTCCTGAATTTAGTTTTGCATCACTTAGCATTTCAAAAGTTTATTTAAGCACTAAATATCATATGCAATGATTTTTCCCCCATCCTGGCCTTGATAACCTATCCTGGTAAATAGTGTGTTAGAGACATCAGTTGAAGATGCACTGAGAATAGGGATGATGTCAATTTACACCATGATCTGCGGAGACAGTTCAGTGTTACAAGAGTGCTGCTTGTTTTTCTGATTTCTCCCAACATGCTACATTTAATTATTTCTATAAGGCTTAATGTGGTTTTGCCAGGATCCATTGTGATTACTTCTCTGTCACCTATGGGTAAAGTTTCTTGTTTTTTGTTTTCAGGGGGAGGGGAGCTATTCCCAAGTACTATAAGATGACCTACCTAAGTAACTGAATGAATACCATTTGGTGATATTAAAAAATGATCTAGCTGGGCGTCAGGGTTTACGCCTGTAATCCTAGCTACTCAGGAGACTAAGATCTGAGGATCACAGTTCAAAACCAGCCAGACCAGGAAAAATCCATGAGACTCCAATAAGCCACCAGAAAACTGCAAGTGGCTCAAGTGGTACAGTGCTCACCTTGAGCTGAAGAGCTGAGGGACAGCTCCCAGGCCTAGAGTTCAAGCCCCATGACCAACAAAAAATAAAAAATGATCTAATGGTAGGGTATGGGACAAGAGACATAAACAGAAAGACTTGTTTCTAAAGAACTTGAAAAAGAACAGGCTGGGAAGGTGGCTCAATGGTAGAGTGCTTGCCTTGCATGCATAAGGACCTGGGTTCAATTCCTCAGCACCACATAAGCAGAAAAAACTGGAAGTGGTGCTGTGGTTCAAGTGGTAAAGAGCTAGCCTTGAGCTGAAGAGCTCAGGGATTGCACCCAGGCCCAGAGTTCAGGCCCCATGACCCTCCCACCCCTACCAAAAAAAAAGAATTTGGAAAAGATCGTCCAGCCTTTGTGAATAGAATCTACTCTTAGTATCCTAAGGTTTGTGCTCAGTCTGTAAAATTAATAGCCCTGTCATAAACTGGGATAAATTCACTCTGCTGGGGAGCTATCAGTGATTGTCTTCATTGGTCTCCATGGAAACCTAGAACTGCTGCTGCCTAACTGCCAGTTGTGTGAACTCTGTCCAAATGATGATCATTGTAATGGCAATACAGCACATGAGTTGATATAGATACATTACACAGTCCAATTAGGAAGCAAGTATCTGATAGGAACATATACACTCAGTATTAAAATCCCAAAGAGATTGTTTTTTATTTTTATTTATTTTATTTTTGGTTGGTCGTGGGGCCTGAACTCTGGGCCTGGGCGCTGTCCCTAAGCTCTTCAGCTCAAGACTAGTACTGTACCACTTGAGCCACAGTGCCACTTCCAAGTTTTTCTGCTCATGTGGTACTGAGGAATGGAACCCAGGGCCTCATGCTTGCGAGGCAAGCACTCTACCACTGAGCCACCTTCCCAGCCCTGTGTTATTTTTTTTTTATAAAAAGGCTATTTAGCCCTGGCGCTGGTGGCTCACGCCTGTAATCCTAGCTACTCAGGAGGCTGAGATCTGAGGATCGTGATTCAAAAACAGCCCAGGCAGAAAGTCTGTGAGACTCTTATCTCCAGTAAACCACCAGAAAATTAGAAGTGGCACGGTGGCTCAAGTAGTAGAGCACTCACCTTGAGCTGAAAGATCTCAGAGTCAATGCCCAGGCCCAGAGTTCAAGCCCTAAAACCGACAAAAAAAAAAAGGTTTTTTAATTTATGGAGGTATGGCCAAGTTCAAAAGAGCCATTACTACCCTTGGCCCCAAATTCCAGCTATATCCAGGTGCTGTTATCTTCTAGAGTCCTAGCCATTGATACAGTTGTGCCAAAGCAGAAAAGAGTAAAGAAATGTACCATAGCCTCTTTTTCTTCCATTTCTTCCCCATCTTGCCAGGACATTGTCTGAACCCAGTCACAGGAAAGACACAAATGTCTGAAGTTTATAAGCTATAAATGCTAGCTGGCCAAAGTCCAGCAAAGAGAAAGGAATGATCAAGAATGAGTTTAGAGGGTAAACAAAATATTGAGCATGAGAGAATATAATCCAAACAAAAAGCTCCTATATTAGGCCTTGGAAGTTGGAGTTATCAGAAACGGACAGGTTCAAGTCCATACAGCTTGTCTTCGATATCCATGGGTTCACATCTATGTATGCATCCAAATATAAATCAGAACTATTCAGAAAAATTTCACCTGTACTGAACAGGTTTGTTTTGGTCATTATCTGTAAACAATATAGTATGTTGATTTACACAGTATTTACACTGTATTAGGTGCTATAATTTGGAGATGATATGAAGTATACATGAGGTTATGCAGAGGTTCTATAGAAATGTCTTTTTCTTTTTTCTTTTTGCTAGTGGGGTTGAACTTATGCCCTGGGCACTGTCCCTGAGCTCCTTTGCTGAAGGCTAGTGCTCTACCACTTTGAGCCACAGAGCCACTTTCAGCTTTCTGGTGGTTAATTGGAGATAAGAGTTTCATGGACTTTTCTGCCCAGGCTGGCTTGAAAGTACTACTATGCTATTTACATAAGGAACATTTACATCCTCTGTGTTTGATGTCTGCAGAAGTCCTTGAATCAGTCTGTTTTGGATATCAAGAGCTAATTGTGGTATGTTCCTTGTGTTCAGAGAAAGACAACCCCTGCCACTAGTTTTGCTTCTTTCCTGCCTCAAAGATCTTCCTTCCAAAAAATCTCACGATATTTTCTTTAATTGTCTAAGTCTTACATGTCCATGAAGTTTCATCCAGATCCTGGACTTACTCTTGTCCTGATCCTGGACATTTAACATAGCTTTTCATCATTGTCATTTTACTAGATATCCATCCTGATGCAGATACTATACAGAAAGTCATCATAGATAAAGCTTAACGTAAGATAGCTGCCCAATAAACCTCTACCAAAGATGAGAAGGAATAACATGAAGATAATGCTGACCTAAATAATGGTGCTGAATTTCACAAAGTCGTATTTCTTTAAGAAGGTAAGTCAAGTTTTCCTTTACAGCAATGGAATATTTTTTTTTTTCCCTTCAGAAGTTTAATGCACTGGGCACTGGTGGCTTACACCTGTAATTCTAGCTACTTAGGAGGTTGAGATCTGAGGATCAAGATTTGAAGCCAGCCTGGTCAGGAAAGCCATGAGACTATCTCCAATTAACTACCAAAAAGCTGAAAGTGGAGCTATGGCTAAGTGGTAGAGCAATAGCCTTGAACAGAAAAGCTCAGCGACACCACCCAGGCCCTGAATTCAAGACTAGTACACACACAAAAAGGTGAAATCCTTCTTTTATTCACTTTACACTAGAAGTATAATTAATCTTAAAACTTCAGACAATATAAAAATATGTGAATCGTAAAATGAAAATCGTTTCTTCTTTCTCTGAACGTCATAGACTTTCTTGCCTAGGCTGGCTTCAAATTGTGATCCTCTGACCTCAGCCTCCTGAATACATAGGATTAGAGCCATGAACCACCAGCACCTGACAGTATAGCTTTTTGACTACCTAATTTGTTTTCTTCAATGAAATTGCTCATTGTGGTAGTTGGAAATGCTAGATGAACTGTTAAAATAGAGGTGACTTTACTGCCTAGTTTTATGCCCTTCACTGAATTCTTAATTTTTGTCATTAACATATCAAATCTGAAATTAGAATGCATACAGTAAGCCCTTGATAACTATGAATCCATAGTTCTTGGGAGAACACCACGGAGGAAAATGTGCACATGTACACACTGCATGATTCATTTATTCTATGATGCTACCCTATTTCTGCTAAAGACGTGCTATATTTTAACAAAACTAAAACTTTCACTTTGTGGGTTAAATTCAGCACACTAACCATTATCTTGCTCTTTGGGAATGATTTGTTTTTATATTTGCTGTCATATTTTATATTTTGTTACATTTTTCACAAAGCTAAGGACAGAAAAACAATTTAAACACAATTGGTGATGACATGGGACGAAGAACTTTCTCACATCAACTAAGTACTGTAATGCTAGAATTTAAATTGTCATTGAAATTCTTTTATGTATTTGTGGACTTGCTTAAGACTGTGTAATATAGCTGCACCTAAGGTGGACTTCTAGTAAGTATAATTTTAGTTAATACCTGTTAATCTATTGAGTTTTCCTGAGAATGTGTCAATTGTCTTATCTTTATCTCTTTAGAAACATGCAGATGTCCAGAAATGATTGAGATGGAGCAGGCAGAGGCCCAGCTCTCTGAGTTAGAGCTGCTGGCCAGTATGTTCCCTGGTGAGAATGAACTCATAATGAATGACCAGCTGGCTTTAGCAGAACTGAAAGAGTGTATTGAAAAGGGGACAATGGAAGGGCGATCTTCAAAAATATACTTTACTATCAATCTGAACCTGGACATATCTGAGGAAGCAATGGTACTTGTTTTGTTTTTGGAAGAATTAGAGCATGTCAAGACTTGAAGCAATATTTATTGCATTTTTCTTCCTTGTTTTCTCAGGGGATGTTTTCTCTGGCTTGCATTCTTCCCTTTAAATACCCTGCAGTACTACCTGAAATTACTGTCAGGTATGTTACAGAAATTCTGTCACTTTGGATATCAAAAGTTATGAGAATGACAGCAATTCTTGAACTGTTTTCCTTTTCAAGAAAATTGATTTAATTTTTCTCGTCTTTCCCACCAGATCAGCATTACTAGGTAGATCCCAGGAGACTCAGCTCAACACAGACCTGAGCGAATACTTACAGAACTGTATTGGAGATGTGTGTGTACTGAATATCACAGAATGGGTTAGAGAACATGCCTCTGGCTATGTTAGCAGATATGCCCCATCATCCCATGTCAGGGAAAGTACAATCCAGCCAGTGACTCCAATTCTTACAAGACTCTGGATCTATAGTCATCACATCTACAACAAATGCAAAAGAAAAAATATTCTAGAGTGGGCAAAGGAGCTTTCCCTGTCCGGATTTAGCATGCCTGGGAAACCTGGTATTATTTGTGTGGAAGGCCCACAAAGTGCATGTGAAGAATTTTGGTCAAGGTTTGCTTTCACATATTTTATATTTTATGTCAATAATTGACGTTTGTTCAAAAGAAGATTCTAAGCTGGGTGCTGGTGATTTATGCCTGTAATTCTAGCTACTCAGGGGGCTGAGATCTGAAAATCTCTGTTTGAAGCCAGACTAGGTAGAAAAGTACCCATAAGACTCTTACCTCCAATTAGCAATTCAAAAACTGGAAGTAGAGCTGTGGCTCAATATAGTAGTCTGCTAGCTTAAGCAAAAGAGCTCAGAGACAGCTCTGAGTTCAAGTTCCATAACCAAGAAAAAAATATGGAAATAAGTTTGCCCTACAGTTGTATCTCCATATGGATTCAGCCCCTTATTTAGTGGATTAAAACAGATAGCACTTATGGCCAACATTACCCCCTCATGTAATATAGTACATGTAAGTGCTGTTCCATAGAGATCAGTTGAATGAATTGAGCTCCTGTCTATGATGCTGTCTAAGATCCAATCATTTACAAGTCTCTTACTCTTCTCTCATCTTGCTTATATTGTAGCTTTGTAAAAACAAAAAAGGTGTGGGGGGTTGCTATTAGTCTTTTTGTTCCTCTATCAATAATATTTAGTTTCTGAGAAAGTCCTCAAGCAGCAAGTTAGCAATTTCCACCTTTATGAAAGACAAGGCAGTAATAGTGGCCATCAGTGGTTTGGGGATAGGATCATGTCCAGAATCATAATTGCTTAAAATAAAGCTCTGTAAAGTAAACACATATTTACTTAGAGAAAAAGCCATTCATAAACCTGGTTTATAAATTTTGTGTACAGTGCTATAAATATCTACTACACTTTGAAATTTTTTGCTTGAAAATTTCTTTCTAGACTCCGAAAATTAAATTGGAAGAGAATTTTAATTCGTCATCGAGAAGACATTCCTTTTGATGGTTTGAATGATGAAATGGAAAAACAAAGGAAATTTTCCATTTTTGAGGAAAAAGTGTTTGTTGTTAATGGAGCCAGAGCAAACCACATGGACTTTGGTCAGCTGTATCAGTTCTTAAGTGCCAAAGGGTGTGGGGATGTCTTCCAGATGTTCTTCGGTGTGGAAGGACAGTGAGTGAGTTGAAGAATGGCTGAAAAAATTTGTCACTGATGGTCTTTTTATCCCCCCTCCCCCCCAATCTTTCTTGAAAGATAAAGTAATTTAATTTCAAGTCTATTCTACAATATTAGAGAGAAAAATAAGATAATCGTATAGTTGAAAATGTCAAGAATGTTATGATTAGGGCTGGGAATGTGGCTTAGTGGTAGACTGCTTGCCTAGCATGTATGAAGCCCTTGGTTTGATTCCTTAGTACCATATAAACAGAAAAAGCCAGAAGTGGTGCTGTGGCTCAAGTGATAGAGTGCTAATCTTGAGCAAAAGCAGCTCAGGGACAGTGTCCAGGTTCTGATTTCAAACTCCATGACTGGTAAAAACAAAAACAATGTTATGATTGAAAGCAGATCTGAGTTTCAAATTACAGTCTTTAAATTATTAATAGACATTTCCATTCCCTTTACATGACTTCACTAAAGAATCTGGGAAAGTCCTTCCAGTCTCTATTCACTTATTCATGGCTGAGGGAATAGAGCTGTGAGGTTACTGGGAAAACACTTGCTTTAAAGTGATTTGTGCAACTAAGTTACCATCTACCACAAACACCAAAGTGTTTGGGCCAAAAGAGTTAAGAGATCCATTCCCAATGTGGTCTAGCTGCTGACCCAACACTGGTGCCTGGCCCAACACCAGCACCTACCTTTCTATACATACAATATCATGAAATAAAATCAGTAAAATTTTTATGCTTATTACTAGTGATCCACAGCTAGTTTGTCATTCTTTTTCAGACCTTTAGTTTTTTATCTATCTCATTTGAAACACACATAGTAGTTAAAATGGAGTTTTAAGCTCGTCTGTTTTTGTATTCTCATGTTCTGCTTTGCACTTGGGCTTGTTGAGGTATAGGAACAGCTTCAACTTTCTGTAAACAAGCCTTGATTGGGAATTTGGTGCTGGAAAACTGATTTTTAACAAATTTTTCATTTTGGAGATAGCTTTCTTTTAACTTATTTCTGGCAGATTGACCACTGATAAGCACTGATTTTTGGAATCATGTATTCGATATTCTTTAAGAATCCAAGTTAAGCCGGGCGCTGGTGGCTCACGCCTGTAATCCTAGCTACTCAGGAGGCTGAGGATCGCGGTTCAAAGCCAGCCCTGGCAGGAAAGACCGTGAGACTCCTATCTCCAATAAACCACCAGAAAACCGGAAGTGGCGCTGTAGCTCAAGTGGTAGAGCGCTCGCCTTGAGCTAAAGAGCTGAGGGACAGCGTCCAGGCCCAGAGTTCAAGCCCCACGACCGACAAAAAAAAAAAAAAAAAAAAAGAATCCAAGTTAATTGAGGTTGGAGACATAGTGCATTGTGGATTTTGTGGATTTTGTTTGGTTTACTCTGTGTGTGTGTACACACACATGTGGGGCCTGAACTCACATTGTCTCTTGGCTTTTTTGGCTCACTGATGGTGCTCTACTAAGCCAGTAGTAACCCAGAAGTAGCCTCCATTTCCAGCTTTTTGCTGCGTAGTAGGAGATTAAGAGTCTCAGGTTTTTCTTTTGGGGCTGGCTTTGAATCTCAGTCTTCACATCTCAGCCTACTGAGTAGCTAAGATTAAGAGGCATGGGCTTATTTTTGTTTTGTAAACTCCATTAACAGAATGGCAGTTCATGACATGACCATTTTTTTTTCAGATGTGGAAGATTTGTGAAATCAGTAAATTCTAGTTTCAAAAGGTGTTCTGTCATACTTTGTGTCAACTTCAGTAAAATGCTAAGTACTAGGCATCAGTACTTTTGAGGTCGAGTATGATCACTGATACAAAGAACAAAGTAAATCCATAAAAATTCAGCCAAAGTGCAGTAGGAGGCTTCCACTTAAATACAATCTGATGCCATCCCGTTGGGGAAAATAAATCTATAATATGCTTTGCCATCTATCTCTGTGAAATGTCAAGGGCTGATGGGTACAGGGTGTAGGGCCCAGGGAGGTTACTGCTCCATGGGCAGTGTCCTGAGAAACCAAGCAGCTCCTAGTGTCTGTCCTAGGATTGTTATCAACATCTAGTGCTCTCCACGGCCCTCTCCACTGCAGTAGGCCCCACACATAGCCAGAGGCATATGGCACAGGGGTGAGGAGCTTTGCCACTGGTCACTCATGCATTAGACAACTGGGCTCCATGCTGGGAGCCAGGCAGGCTTGCTGCTGCAGTTGGAGATACAGATTCCTTATATGCAGGCTCCTCCAACTTGAGCATCTCACTGGAAGGCCAGCTGTCTTATGACTGTTATCAACAGACAGTGCTCTCCAGGGCCCTGGACTTTGTCACCACAGTAGACCCCAGGCAGAGCCAGCCATATGAAGCAGGGGTAAGGAGCCTGCCACTTATCAAGCATACGCCAGACAACTGGCGGGAGCTGGGAGCCAGGAGGGCTTACTGTTGCAGTTGGTGATATGGAGTCCTGATATGTGTGCTCCTCCAGGTTGGCATTTCACTAGAAGGCCAGGTGCTTCCCCGTGCTGAGATGGGCTACTTTTTATTTCCCTTTTGGTTGCTAGCTTTTGGACAAAGCAGCACTGATTTCATTGCAGTGAAGAGAATTAGAAAAATGGCTTCACCCTTGGGCCTCTGGTGGTGCCTTCAAGATTTAGCCACCCAGATTTTATCCAGCTGCTGAAATGTAGCTTAATTTTTCCCTTAGGGATACTTGACATTTTTTAGATTGTAGTAATCCTGTTCTCCCATACCACTCAGTATAGAAATAGAACTATATAGAAAATGTAGACATAAACATTTTCAAATCACATATAACCTAGTGTCCAAGGCAAGTTAAATTTTGGCCATGTTTTAATATTTTGGGCACATGTGTTTACTTCCTCTTTCTTTTCTTTTTGTACCATCTTCGGGCTTGAACTCAGCCTGGGTGCTGTTCCTGAGCTGTTTTTGCTCAAGACTAATGCTTTTCCACTTGAACCACTTATGGTTCCACTTATGGCTGTTTATTAGAGATAAATATCTCATAGACTTTCCTGTACTAGCAGACTTCAAACGGAGACACTTGTCTCTCAACATCTTGAGTAGATAATACAGGCATGAACTACACTGGTTTTGTTTTAAACATAATACTGTACAAACATTCCCATGATATTAAAATATTTTCAACAGATTTAAAGACTACTGTATGCAGTTGTCTGAGACCTCAGAAGTGCATTGCCTGGTTCTTTTTAGGGGTTCAGGAAGACTAAAGCCAACTACTGCTGGTCAAAGCAATTGATGTGACAGGGTAAAGGCAGCTTATTGGGATCCCTTCTGGCAGCCTAGTCTCCCACTAGCTCCCCCTGTTGATGGAATCTAACAGTAAGCTAGTTGAATAAAGGAGAAATAATTTGCACTACCAAATTTTCACTGAGAATGAAAAGAAGGCTTGTATATAAGAGCCAATTTCTGGCGTGATGCTGAGAAGCAAAATAACTAAATGAGTGGATCTATGGATGTTAATCAGAGATGAGATTCTCACCCAACTTTGAACCACGATCCCCAGATCTCAGCCTCCTGAATAACTAGAATTACAGGCAGGAGCCACCAGCACTTGGTTCTGTTTGAAGTGCTAATGGGTTCTGCCACAAATAAGCAGCACTTTTGGTATGGAAAAAAGGAGGAGGTCTAGAGAATAATGAAATCTTGAGCAGTACTCAAGTTTTCACAAGGGGAATCTTGCTGAGCGCCGGTGGCTCACGCCTGTAATCCTAGCCACTCAGGGGGCGGAGATCTTGCATATCGTGGTGGGAAGCCAGCTGAGACAGCATAGTCCGTGAGACTTTTTTATTCCTTTTTTGCCAGTCCTAGGGCTTGAACTTAGGACACTGCCTTTGAGCTTCTTTTGCCCAAGCCTAGCACTCAACCACCAGAGCCACAGCACCACTTCCGGCTTTTTCTGTTTATGTTGTACGGAGGAATCGAACCCAGGGCTTCATGCATGCTAGGCAAGCACTCTACCACTCTACCACTAAGCCACTTGCCCAGCCCCGATGAACCAGCAAAAAAAGCTGGAAGTGGAGCTAAGGCGCAAGTGGTGGAGCACCAGCCTAGAACTAGACAACTCCAGAACTGGACAACGCGCGCGCACGCGCACACAGCAAACAAAACCCTAACGGGAATCTCTGCAAGACAGAATTTGACTTACTAGCTCCGAAGAGGCTCACCTTAAGGTGATGCCGATGATCGCCATCATCTTAAAACTGGAACCCGTTCCTACCCTCGCATTTTACGGCTACCCTAGTGTAAAACTAACTCAATGCGGCAGCTCAATTCAACTCCCCACCGGTACAGCAGCGGACAACATCAGCTTCCGGTAAAGGACGGAAGGCGGGATTAGGTGCCTCGGGTCTAATCCTTGGCTTTCTATTGGCTAGGCGTGACGCCAGTCTTAGGGGCGGGTCTGAGTTATGACGTAGCCCGTGGTGAGTGGTCAGAGACGCAGCCGGGAGGCAGGAGCGGAAGTAGAGAGACAGGAAGGGGGGGGCAAGGTGGGAGGTGGAAGGGGAGGGTTGGGGAAAAAGTTGTTACGGTGACGCCCCTTCCGGTTGTAACCGGAAGTAGCGGCCCGGCTGTGTCAACCTCCGGGCTGAAGAGAGTTACCACCGCCACCTCAACCATGGGCGGGAAGAATAAGCAGCGGACCAAGGGCAACCTGAGGGTGAGCGTTGCGGGGGGCTGGTCGGCTGGCGGGGGCTGAGGGGGGGTGTCTGCGGCCTTTAGGCTCCTCGATGTGGTGGCGCGCAGCTGTGTGGCGTGACCCCTCGGTGCCGGGAGCTCCGTGTGGGGACTTGGTGTGGGGATGGATCAGCCGAGGCAAGATGCCGCGGGGCTGCGACGACCGCGCTGCACCCCGCGGAGCACGTGGAACTTCCCTTAAGAAACGGTTCGCTGCCAGCGCTGACTGGAGGAGGGCGGCGGGGGCGGGGGGCTGGGCGGGGGGCTGGGCCGGGGCTGGGCCGGGGGCTGGGCCGGGGCTGGGCCGGGGGCTGGGCCGGGGGCTGGGCCGGGGGCTGGGCCGGGGCTGGGCCGGGGCTGGGCCGGGGGCTGGGCCGGGGAGCTGGGCCGGGGGCTGGGCCGG